AATATAAAGATTATGAAGAATGGTACCAAGTCCAAACAGATCGACTCAAAAGTTGGGGCTTCAATGCCCTTCCTAACTGGGTTGATACAAAAATGTTCCACAGAGGTCTTCCTCACTCGACTAACCACGGCTCTTCAGACTTTGCTGCCAACTTTGATTACATCATACCTAAAACATCATGGACGGGGTTTCCGAATGTTTTCAGTGATTTGTGGAAACCCTACTTGGAGATCACTTTGAGGGACATTGAAGAAAATAAGAATGATCCTTGGATCATAGGACACTTCTTTGATAACGAACTTGAGTGGTGGGGAAAGACTGAAGAACGTGGTACTGAGAAAGGCGATTGGAATATGTTTAACTCCACTTGGCTCTTACCAAAGAATCACACTGCAAAAATAGCTGCATCGAAAATTATAGAAAAGTATTTAAAAGAGAAGAACAGGCTCAATGATATAACAAAGTGCTTCGAAGAATATTTTGGAGTTAAAAATATCAATTCGATAAACGACTATTTGAACAGTTATAAAGGAGGGAGTGTCTGGAGTATTGAAGGGAAGGAGATTGGGGCACTTTATATGAAAGAAGTTGCTGAGAGGTATTTTAGTGCCATCAAAGAGACTTTTCAAAAGTATGACAAAAATCACTTGTATTTCTGCACACGATTCCCAGGGTCTTCTCCATCGATAGGAGAGATCGTTAATAAGTATTGTGATATTGACACATTCAATATATACCCATTCGTCTCTCCTATTAGTGGAGTGCCTGATAGCACTATTAAAAGTGTCAGAAAAATATCAAACTTTGCACCAGATATTCCTTTGATGGTGACTGAATGGAGCTTCCCAGCACTTGATGCTGGGTTACCAAGTCTTGTTGGAGCAGGCACACGTATGGACAACCAAGTCCAGAAAACAAATGCAGTCAAATTCTTCATGGCGCAATTAATGAATATGGAGAATGTCATTGGCGCTCATTATTTTAAATATTTGGACCAATCACAACACGGAAGTGCTGAAACTTTTCAAGAAAATTCGAATTATGGACTTGTCAATGGAACGGACTACCCATACGAATTGCTGACTAAAACACTGAAGGAAGTCAATGAAAATTACTGTCGAAGAAGACTTGGGAATTTCTCATATAACGAGTATCTTCCAAACAAAGAGGTTTTGTATGGGAATAGAGTAACAAACGATTATGATAAGACAAAGACAAGAGGTGTTTCACTCCAATTCGAAGATAAAAACGCAACCTTTATGTACAAAAACATTCGAATTGGGCGATTTGAGTTTTGGGCGTCGATGTCGTATTACTTTAAAAATGACACTCAAAACAAACAGACGACGTCCTTTTGGTCTGCTTCTGTTGTTAGATTAAATAACATTATTGAGAGTGAAAAGACTGTTGAAGTGTATTATCAGACTAATTCTTACTCAAATAAAACGATGGAAGTCTGCTTCATTTTACCCAAAGGAAGTGTTTCAGATAGTACAGTGAACCCTTTTATGGCTGTTCGAATTACTAATATAACAGACAAACTATCACTGAATTCTGAAATAGTGAATTATAGAGTTGTCTCTACTAATGTGCTTATTAACATTAAGGACTTTGGAAGTGACGCGGTGCGAGGAGAAAAATCTGGGAATAACAATTATTGGAAGCCAGAGGAATATTTTAATGTGCCCAAATTAAACATTGGTATGGGTGTGTGGGCATTCCCTGATAATATTCGAATTTACAAAAATTCTATGATAAGTGTCGGGCAATCATTCACCGAAGGCGAAATGATGGACGAAAACGGGAGTTTCGCACCAAATAAAAATGACTTGAAAAAACAACCCAATTTTGTGTTCTTCCCATTTGCGTCAAATTGTGCAAAAAAAGGTTATGGGTGTTACAACCAAAGTCTTGATATGATAATAAAAGAAATAACAAATCAATACGACCTTCCTGAACCATTGCAATCACCAAATGGATGTTATAGTATATTTGGATTATGGGTATTGCTGATGTTATTATTGCTGATTTAATTTGGGTACATTTTATTGGTAAAAATTGGTTGTATTAATTGTTTTTTACTATAACTCATTAAATAAATACAGAAATATCATGTTATTTTTTAAATAAATAGACAACAATAAAAATACATTGTGAATAATTTATAAATATTTTAAAAATTTTGTTCATTGTGTAGATTGGATATAAAACAACAGTGGTTTGATTATTATCATATACATTAATCGTGTTAAAAAGACGTTATTTAATATTAATTATGTGACAATTTTTAAGTATTTTTCTTTCTTTAACACCTTAAATAACATTGAACGACATTCAAGTGGTATAAAAATAGGTAAATCTTTAATTAATAAAATAATACTCCGGTTTTTTAGAGTTATATATTCATAACATTACACAAGCCTAAAGAGGAAAATCGTCAATAATTTAATTAATATCAGTAAAAACAAGTCAATCAAAAACAAAGGTGTTATTTCGAGTGTTAATACAGATAATATCTCATATATAGAAAATACAGTATTTAGTAACAAAATATATCAAAAGTTATAACAAAACAATAATTAAAATGGTTTATTGACCCACTCAGCGATGTCTGTGTCCTTTTTACTCTCTTTAAATTTGACGTACATCCTCCCGTGTTTTGCATTCACGCACTTCACTGCGTCGTCGTGTTCATTAAAGCACACAAACCCGTATTTTTTCTCGGGCACCACTTTACACGAGAAAATCCCTCCGAACTTCATGAAGTACTCTTTGAAGTTCTCCAGATCTCCCAACTCTTGTCTAATGTTCTTCACAAACACGTTATTGTCCTTCAAGTCATTTTCAACGACTTTTCTCTTTTCATAATACGTCTTGTTCTTCTCTCCTTTCATCTCTTTTTTGCTTCTCAAAAGACTCGCAGACAGCGGCATGTCGCAATCAAACACGTCTTTCCCGTCGACTTCCTCTATCAGTCTTTTCGCGTCATTTTCTTCGGTGTACTCCACATACAACGCCTTCGCGTCAAACTCCGGATTGACTGGTGTTAGTTTGAAGCTCTCGATGTTCCCAAACGACTTGAAGAACTCCAAGAACTCGGAATTAGCAATTAACGCGGGGTGGATGTTTTTCACTAACACATTCGAACACTTCTCCGCCTTCTTCTCGTGTTTTTTAACACTGAAATTGTCACTGCCGATTTTCTCTTTAATTTCAGAGATGTTGTCGAAGACGTTCTCGACGTCTTGAGATGAACTGAATTTTATCACAGAAAAGACGCCGCGACTACTATGAGTGAAGAGAAGGGACTTGATCTGGGCGTACGCATTTAAACAGACTTGAACCGACTCATCTGTAGCTTCGGGCTTCAAATCAAAGAAGTCGTAATTGAATTCTTCATTCGAAATTTCTTCTTTTGAAAGCTTCCAACATATTTTGATCGACTTTCCTTTGACTTTGTAGAACGTTCGAGTCTGATGGATTTTAAGAGGCGTCGCGTGGTTTCGAAATACTACATACGCCAACGGACCTTCGACTTGAATGTCTTCAATCGACGTCGCGTCTTCTTGAAAGGTGTATATGATGTCGCTGTTTTTGACGTCGTAAGGAAGTGAAAGTAAGATTAATGTACAGTTGGATGAAAAGTCGTCTGTAGTTGGTAATGACATACTTTACTATTTTACTCAGTGCTTTTATTTTTATATTAAACAGAACTTCTCATTTTGAAGTTCTGTTTAGTATAGAAAACTATCATCTATTATACATTCAATTTTTTTTGTAATCAGGGCTGCAAACTAAAATTAAATAATTTTAATCGTTTTTTGAAAAAGAAAAAATGGTATTTTATCTTTTTGGACAAAATAAATAATCCTATTCACAAAAGAATTTTTTTGCTCAATTTGATGAAAATAATTATAAAAATAAAAAATATGCTGTTTTGGGAATGTTTTTGAATAATGTTTTCAAAACTGCACTTTATTCCGTTCTTTCAAATAATAAGACCAAAAGTGTTTTGAAAAACAAATTATTACCAGAAAAAACAAATAAGAAAAATTTTAATTTTTAAACCAAAAACTAAAGAAAAATAAAACAAATAAGTTTTTGAGAACATGTGTTTGTTGAATGGCATTTATAAAAAATAGGAAAATGTCATTGGAATGTAGTAAAATAGAATACTTTCATTACATTTTGTGTTCGGGTCTGATATATAATTTAATTTGTACAAACCTTAAAGTAATCTTCGTTTTATTGTATTTATTAAACACTAATCAAAATATCAAATAAAACCTAAATAGAGTTTAGATACATTTTTCATTTTAAATATTAACATGATTATAACTAAATTATTGAATAAAGTGACTTAAAAACTTAACACAAATTAATTTATATGACAGTTTGTTGTTTCATTATATGATAATTTAAAAATATTATTTGACATTACAAGGTTGGACAATACTATTTATTTATATATTAATAATCTACATTTCGTTGTGTTCCAAATTGCACATTTGCAATGATGACGCTGGTTGCACTCGGTGTGATTCAAATGATTATCAAAAATGCACGTTTTGTGAATCTGGATACGTTCATGATTCTGCGAATCAAAAACGTGTTAGATGTGAAAGTGGATGTGTGAAAAGTGCCACTGAATGCATTACTTATGAAGCTATTACAAACTGATTAATCTATAACAAAGACCATACTTGCAAAACGTGTAATAATAAATACAAAAAGGATGGCAACAATTGCACAAATGTTGATTGTTGCCAAACCAGAAACGATGACGCAAAAAGCATTTTTTTGTGAAGAGTTATCGTTTAGAGAATGACTCTATTATTTAAAATCATAATTTGTAATTGATTTAAAATATTGATGACATTACAATGTTTTTCATTATTATTGGTAATAAAATACATATTTTTCTTTTTGGAAATAATAAATTTGGCATTTTTATAATTAAAGAGAGAATTTTTATTTTTTTTCAAAAACAAAACCAATACTAATTATTTTAGTTTTATTATCTATTTTAAAATGTTTTTAATTTATGTATCGAAATGGGAAAATATTTTGGAATTTTTAAACACGTTTTGGGGATAAAATATTCTTTTTTAACACTTAACTTGACAGTTTTTCGAGTTGCGATTCTATACACCCCACAATTAAACTTAATTGTGTGAAACTAAAAAACAGCTTATTTTGGTTTTGAAACCAAAATAATAATAACAATAATTGTTAAAAGTCTTTACAATTCAATTACAATCAATTTGTGATACAAATTGTTTGTAATTTGTTGTAAATAAAAAACTTTCAATAAATAAAAATTGTTCCAAATGTGTGATAATTAATAAATGATCACTTTTATTTCATTAAAAAAATAAACTTAAATTCATGAATAATAAACTAATAATATAATTGTTTGCAAAATGATAGTATGTATAATGTTGTTGTTTATAACATCTTCAATCGCAAATAAAGTTGCACTTAAACGTTGTTCACCATTAAACAATGACAATGGACTTGAAATAAACAGTATAGAATACAATGGAAGTGCATTTAGAAGTGGTACTGACTTCACGATACATTTTAATATCAACCAACAAGTCGTTCAACTCTTTTTATATCCCTTTTTGGATTTCCATGGTGGTATTTTTAATTTTGGTAGTTATGAATTAGAAAGAATTGATGTGTGTTCAATGATAAATGGATGTAAAGGAAAAGTTGGGAACCAAACAATTATAATACAAATTGGAACAAAAGGGTTTTCTTTGTTTGGGTATTATAAGCTAACTCTTGGCCTTACAGACGAAAAATATTATGGTGAATGCCAAACTGGATTTATTTGGTTAAATTAATTTGTATTATTTTTTTATTTGGTTATTTTTAAACTTGATTTGAAAATGTTTGTTCAATTAAATTAGTTTGATTATAACTCAACAATTTCTAAATAAAGTGTTTGTATCAATTAACAAAGGTTGATATATAAGTCGGCACAATTCTAGTTTTCAGAATTAACAAGAAAAACATATTTTGTGGCAATTTAATTACAAAATACTATTTTTTTATGAAAAAAATAAATTTTATTGATAACTAAGCAAAAAATTGGGTTATGAAAAACATTGATAAGTGTTTGAAAGACTTTTATTTTTTTCAAAAAATGTGTTGTAAAAAGGCCAAACAAAGTACAAAAATGTTTATTTTTTTAATTATGTTTTAAACTAATTTTCAATTTTTGGTCACGGGTAAATTGCTTACAGGGTTGGCCAAACGATCATGTTATTGGAAAAAAACTAAAAAAACATTAAAATGGTAAATAACATTATCATTTTTAAAAAACAAAATGAAAATGACAAAACACAATTATTTATACCAAAAGATAAAATGAAGAAAAATAAAACGATAATTTATATTGAACACCAAATTGTTTTTAAATTACTTTAAAATACAACAATATAAATATATCTTTGTGTTGATATAATTGTACACTAAACCTTTCAATTGTAAATTATACATGTAAATGAAACTTATTTAAAGTTACTCTCATAATAGTTTTTTTATTTGGGTGATTAATATTATTTTGACTGATTATTATCGTATTATGAATTATCGTTTTTATCAAGAAAACGAACTAAAGATAAGTTTTACTGTTTTGAACCTAATATAATTCACTCCATTAGAAAAATAATACATTGTTTGTTTTGTATTATTGCAAAAGATAATAAAAATACTTAGATTTGATTGTTTAATTAATACTATAATTTAAAAAGGACACAATTGAACGATTCAAAACTTTTGTTAAACTGACAAATATACATATAAACTGGAAATAAAAAGTGTGTACCATTTTTAATCAATTTGTTTATTTTAGAGTATTTTCCCGATATTTATTAAGATTCAAATCTTTTTTTCATAATTTTTATTTCGAAGTACACACTTTTATAACAACTATAATCAATTCAAAAATAAAATCATCCAATAATGTGGGAATTATGCAACAGTTAAGCTAATTTACCCAAATTTTATACGTTCCACATGACAAACCTTATTTACTGTAATAATAAAGTTTGTCACCAATAAACCCACCTTTTGATTTCAAACACAATTTAAATATTTCGGGGATAGATTCAATCGAATTGTTGATTGTTTGTATTGGGATTTCATTCCATACAAGCAATAGAATTTCTTTTAATTTTTGTTCATTTTCAAACACTTTTGTTTTTTCTCTTATTTTCTTTTCCATTATCGACCATAGATGTTCTATGGGACTTAGATCAGGTGAGTTAGCAGGCCATTTTTGAAGTACTTTGATGCCCATTCCCTGTAGTTTTGCTAATGTCGTCTTTGAAGTATGACAAGGAGCTCCATCTTGTTGAAAAACAAATTTTTTTCGTCCCCACTTTTCAACAGCTTCATCAAAAACTCCCGATTCTTTTAGAATGTCAAAATATTTAGCTGAATCGAGTCTGTTGGAACAGAAGACAAGTTTGCTTTTGAAATCCTTTGCAATTGCTCCCCAGACCATTACAGAGCGGTCATATTTAGGAGTCGATTCAAAATTTGTATCTAGGTGATACCCCCAAGGTTTCCACATTATCATACCATCGGAGTGAAGACAGAAACGACTTTCATCTGAGATAATGACACAACTTGTCCATTTATTAATATTCTTTTGCCACAGCTGTTTTCTACAAAACGTGTATCGTGATTCAATATGTTTATCTGTTAAACATGGTCTTTTGATCGCTTTTCCATAATGGAATTTTAATTCGTGGCGTATAGAATTAACTGTTGTTGCACTTAGACCAATTTCCATCCCAACTTTATGACTACTTGATTGTGGATTGATTATCGTTGGCATTTCGACTTTTTTTCATAGCGTCCTTTGTGATTTTTGGTGGTCTTCCCATTTTTGTTAACTTTGGAATAAATTGTGTATTTTCATCTAACTTAACTTTTAATGAATGAACTGTACTTTTCGAAAGGTGTCTTGAAGTTGAAACTTTTGTTATTGATATTCCATTAATCAAATCCGTGCATGCATCTTTTAATTTTTGGTGAAGGAGTTTATCACACATTTTACTTTCTCGCGTCCTCATTACTGGTTTCATTGTTTAAAAAAAGTTCTTTTACAATTTGCCAAACTCAACCACTTTTTACCACTTTTTAAAACTCAATTCCACTCTTTTAAAATTTTCATCTAAAAAAATAATTATTTTTCTTTTTAAAAATATTTATGAGTTTTTTATGTTCTGTGTTTTTCTCTTTTTAAATGTATTTTATTTTGTTAATTATTTGTTTTACCAAAAAAATATTAAAAAAGCACACAAAAAAGAATTATATCGATTACAGACTTTTTATTTCCAGTTTATATACATTAACAATTAATATTAATGTGTATGTTGAAAAAGTATATTAGTTGTTCAAATAAAAATTTTAAGTTGAAATCACTAAAATGTTTAATAATTTTTATTGGTTGTTAGTATCTTCTGTATATACAACAATTATAAGGAGTGAGTATTGTTATTGAATTTTAAAAACTCTGCATTTTACCATTTCATATGCTTTTTATTGTTCAATTTTTGTTTTTTAAAACTGGATTATAACACATTAAAATGACTATTATACAATTCAAAAATTTTGTTTAAATCGTTAACTATAGTTTTACCAATTT